CAGGCTCGGGTGCAATGGAAACACATCTTTGAACCTTTTCCTTTCCCTTCTCCACCTTCTAAATGAAAACCGCCCTAGGGTGGCATCTTTTGCTTTGTCTAACTGGGAGGCAACCATAGTTGGTTGTAGTCATCTCCCCTGAGCAGTGTTGGGGTGCTTTGAAGTTTCTTTTTTATAACTTGTTTTTGCAGATCATTGTGAATCCTCTTTCACTCTGTTATCCTGGTAGCTGTTGGCCCCAGGGGAGTATAGGATCATACAGGATGGCCTATCTTCTCTCCCCGGAATCAGAGTGCAAAACATGTGAATGCTGAGTGTTGAAAGTTGCAGAGGGTGATCCCTGATTTGAAGGCTTTGTCACGGGATTAACTTCTTTTGGCTGCAATGAATTTAATAATGAGCCAAAGGACCCTGGAAAGAAGATCCGTTGATTTTCCACTCCTAGATGCTAAAGAGGCTTTTGACGCCAGCTTTGTTCAAACTACAAAAAATCGCAGCTGTTTGCCCCTGTCCCCTCATCGTGGGCTAGGAATGAACAAATCCGGGAGGCCCGTGGCAGCCCCTTAGGGTGGACAGATGCTGCTCTGTCCCCTTTCCGGCATATTCACTTGGTGCTTTGGAGAGTGGGTGAAGACCCCCCAGGTTGGCGGTCTGTTGGCAGACTCTGTAGGAACAGCCCCTGCTTGAGGCTGTAGCACTGACCACCCAGCTGCCGTGTGGTGGGGGAGGCCTGGGGACAGGGGACAGTGGCTTCTCTTCACCCCCAGCGGCCGCCTGCAGTGGGGCCACGGGCTGGCAGTGGAGCTCCAGGGGATCCAGCTCTTGTTTGCATGAAGCAGTGTTAGTGTGACACTCCTTTCCCCTTCTCTGCGTTCCTTTCTCTAATCCCTGCTCCCTTTCTTGGTCCTGGGTTCTGCCCAGGGAGGCTTCCTTTGCAGTTTGTCTCTGGGAAATGGAAGGGCTCCCCTTCCCCCTGCCTGGCCCCAGCGGAGCCAGCAGGATGTTCCTGGTCTCCTGCCGTCCTCCCCTCCACACTCAGTTTCTATCTTCTTTGGTAAAAGCTCCGCTTTTTTCCTGATCGGGAGAAAGTGCAGGCCCCGTGAAGCCTGTCCCCACAGAAAGGTTTCCTGGGGCCAAGCTTGGGGCTCTCTGCTCTTTATCTTCTGCTCTCCATTTCTCTGCCCTCCCCTTGCCCTAGGCCTGAGCTCAGCACAGGTGAGTGCTCAGAGCAACTCATAGGCCTGGAGGGAGCTCTCGGGGAGGAATGAGAAGCGTTCAGCATTGCCATGCCTGGCCCATCTGGTTTCATCCTTTAGTTACCAGGCCAGTAGCTTTGGGTTGTCCCCTCTTGTAGCTCCTAGCCCAATGCTTGGAGCAACAGTATATAGGGCATTGGCAGGAGGTGGACCTCTCACCTCAGAATTTGCCAACTTATGGGTCTGGCTCCTGGGAGGCAGTTTTCTTAAAAGGGATTGCATCCTGGTTGGTCTGAAGTCCCCGGACCTGGAGGGACTGCTGTGCCCTCCCTTCTCTCCAGTGTGCGCTGGTGGACTGATGCCGCAGGAAGGACCGTCTGTGCTGTTGGACTCCCAGCATGCACCAGATTCTGTGTCACATCAGTCTCCTCTTGGAGGGAGGCTGGTGTGGTTGAATTCTGAGAGAGAGAGAGAGAGAGAGAGAGAGAGAGAGAGGCGACGGATGTGCTCCAGCACCTCATCGTCCAGTCCCACCTCCTGTCTCCCTCTTCTCCCAAACCCAAGCACATGGTGCCAGGCCTCACTCACCAGGACAACATCAGCTCCCTCCTCAGCAATCATCTCAGGTGTGTGGGAACCTTAGGGCTCGGGGAGATCGGAGTGGACGAGGGGAGTGATACGGGGCGAGGCACGCGGCCAGCTGCTAAAGTTACACCAGTTTTATGTCATGCTCCCTTTTTAAGCCAGTGAGCTGGGCTTCAGTTTTCCCCAGGCCATGCACACTTTTAATTTATTTGAGAGAAACTCTAATTGTATTTTCACTGCAGTATCTTGTATTTTTTATTTGTGATTTAAGAAATGTGAAGAGAAAATACACAGACACATAATGGCTAGCAGTGTTTCTTTCATTCCTGGTTCTAGAGCTAACCACTCTAAAATTGTTTGGTAATGTCACTTAGTGTAATTAATTGTAACATATTCTTTTAAATAAATTGATTTATTGATGAAACTATTCTTTGGTTTCCTAGGTTACAAATCCTTTGGGTTGTGTGGGAAGCAGTGTAGAGGGACCTTTGAGATTTGAGTTAGAATGGTCAGTCTGGAAACGGGAAGGAACATTTAACCACTTATCCCAAGTAACGAGTGATCTTTTGAAGGCAGGTGATGTGGGGGTGAGGGGGGAGGCTGGGAGGCCCCTGGTCTAACCCTGTGTTCAGTGCCTCCTTTGAAGATTCCTTCTCCCTCAGACTTCCGTTGATGGTGCCAGCCTGCACAAAACCCACGCTGGCTCATAGGGCTCCTCCGACCACCTTACGCAGATAGATCCTGGCAGGATCCTTGGGACACATCTTAGTCCCCAACCCCCAGTAACATGTATAGACTTTGTCATTTTCCTATTTTATGGATATCCTAGAGGCCCAGTGCACGGATTTGTGCACTGGTGGGGTCCCTCGGCCTGGTCTGTGCCCTCTGGCAATCTGGGACCCTTGGGGGACGTAGTAGTGTGCAAAGTGGCAGGCGGCTGGGGAGGAGCCCAGGCTGGGCACCACGCTGTAGCGCTGCTGCCAAGACAGGAGAGGCTCACGCTGCCATAGCTGCGCTTGCCAGCCATGAGCCCGGTGTTTTAGAGAATGGGGAAGGAAAAGGGAGAGAGGTAGAAACATCTATGAGAGAGAAACATCGACCGGCCACCTCCTACACACTTACCATTGGGGATCGAACTCGCAACCTGGGCATTGCCCTGACTGGGAATTGAACTCTGACCTCTTGGTTCATGGGTTCATGGGTTGATGCTCCACCACTGAGCCAAAACTCTAAAACTATAGGTGGGGAAATGAGAATTTGCGAAGGAATTATCCGGACTCCCCCACCACCCTATCACCTGTAGTCCCTGAGTGAGGACATTTTTCTAGATGTCTTTTCATTTCTATTCCTGGAAGGCGTCTCCTGATCCCTGCTATTAACCTGTCAACTCCACTCTTCTGCCTCGAGAAGTTCTTTTCCTTCCCTCTTCTCTATGTTGCTGTTAACGTTAGAGCAGCACTTCGATTATTTGAGAAGAAATTGGTGCTAAGTCTCATTTTGCTTGGTCTGAAGTGAGGTGATGCTGTTGTCACCCTATTTGTCCTCTGTCCCATTTTATTACTGAAGCTAACAGAACCATCCCTGCTGTACACCCTCCCTGCCCTGTTTGAAAACAGCGTGCCTGAAAGATCCGCTGGTGAAGGAACAAGTCAGGAGCCTCTTTTCTGTCTCAGATGGCCGCCTACGTTTTGCTGTCAAAGGACCTAGAGAATCCCTGCCCAAAAGTCGTTTTGTTTCCTCTAGAAGACTCCTCTGTTTCCTTCATCCCCATCATTCAACCTTGATTATCCACTGCTTCTCTGGAGAAAGTCTGGCTGCAGCCTTGCCAGGTGGGGCACAGCTCGGAGCAGGGGCAGCCATCAATGCAGGCATTCCTCAGTGTGTGTGTCGGGTGGGCCCTGAGACCCTCGGCCCGCCCAGAACCCCAGCCGGTAAATCCCTCTGGGAGAAGCCCTTTGGGCTAAAAAGCCCTTCCGTCTTTCTGTCCTGACCCAGAAACTTGCCAAGTCACAGAGACAGCTGAGGGGGAAATTCATAATGTGAGTAGCAGCTCCTGCTGTCCTCACACACCTCTTCCTGTCTCTGAACGAACGAACGAACGAACACACACACACACACACACACAAGATTTCGGTGCCGGGTGCCTGGCTAAGAATCTGACTGGGTTCTCTTCTGAGTCAGGTCCCATCCCTGATCTCTCCGAGCCAGGAGACCTGCCCTCCTGAATCAGTGCCCACAGATACGTCTGTAGCCCGTCACATGGTGCTGCTCCTGAACAGGTCTTAGCGCTCGGCAGTTGCTAAGAGAAGGCTGAGGTGCAGTGGGTGGTGGGAGTTACTCCTCTCAGAACAGCTGTGGCCGAGGCCAGGTGGTGGCCAGGTGGTGCTGGGAAGGTGAGCGCGTTTATAAGCGGGAACAGGAGGAGGGTGGGTGGTAAGAAGATGCCTAGAAGCAAATGGCCCTGGATGACCTGAGTGAGCGCCTGCCCCAGCCCCAGGGCAGTCACAGGGAGTCCAGGAGCCAAGAGACTTCCGTCCCGCCTGCCCTCGGGAGCCTTTGTCTCGGTCAAAGCCCAGGTGGCTGACCTGTGAGAGGAGCATCCTGGGCTTGGGGTTCTGACACCTGGTTTCAACGCCCGCAGCTCCATGGCTCTGGGCAGCGGATTACCCTCCAAAGCCTCCATTTTCCTGTGTGTAACATTACTTCCTGCCTCACAGGGATGATGGGAGGTTAAGTAAGGAAAAACACATTCAGAGAAAATGCTTTGTAATGGTGGTGGCACAGCTAGCTCCCGGGTCCCCGCTGGCCAGTGCAGGGCAGGCCGGAAGTCCTTGGCCTTTGGAGGGACCGGGCGGGGTACAGGAGGGGCCTGCTGACCTGCTTTCTCCCCCCGGCGCCCGCCCCGCAGAGCACTGCAGAGTTAAGCCCCGCAGAAGAGGGAGGGCGTGGGTCATGAGATGGAGGCCTGGGCACCACGCACAGGCATGGGCGGCCCTTTCTGAGAGCACCCCCACCGCCGCCCACCCCTGGCCCAAACCTCACGTCCCTCCTCCCAGCGTGCACCAGCTCCTGCCCTCAGCCTTCCAGGACTCTTATTTGATGCTTTTAATATTTTTTCTTTATTTAGACAGAAAAGACGAACTCTTTAAAAGTAAAATGCAATAAATAAATAAGTTAAGCATAGAGAAATGTCTGAAACTGACGCCCTGGTCTCCCTGTACCACTCCCACCCCCACCCCACTTCTTTCCCCTAAAACCTCTTCCTAAAGAAAATGACCAGGTAATAAACCCCTTTATCCCTCCCCACACCCCTCCTCCCTAATACCCAATTACCCCCAAAGCAAAGGGAGAAATCAAGAGAGAAGAAATCCAAGGGAAACATTGTCTAAACTCCCCGAAGAGAGATGGCAGCGGCCGGGCCGGGCCGGGCTGGATAACGCACACACGGCTGGTAGTGGTATTTACATGGAGGGACCAGCAGAGACTGTAAACATTTTTAGGGGTTCGGGGAGGTCTTTTCCTCGTGAAAGGAGGAGGGTCTCTGTGGCTGACTGGCGGAGAGGCAGCCCTCAGGGCTCCCCCACACCCTCCTTAGAGGGGGCCCTTAGGGAGGCAGTGAGTTTTAGGGCTGGGAGCCCAGGGTTTAGGGGTGTCCTACCTCTAGCTCAGGGTGGCACGGAGCAAGAACCAGCTTCTGAGAAACCCCTGGTGTGGGGAAGAGGCTGGGGCGGGCGAGTGGGGAGCATGTGGGAGCCCCGCGGCCCTCCCGCTGCTCAGGTAGAACAGGCCCCTGGTGGGGACGCAGGTGCGAAAGCTGGGCACAGGAGGCCCGGCACAGGAGCCCCGCAGAAGGCAGGTACCCCAAGCCTTCAGGCCTGTCCCTTGCTCCCTCACAAAGGCCAAAAGGGCACCTGGGAGGAAACAGGCCCTTGCGGAGAGGCGGCTGGCAGGAGTGGGTGTGTCCTGTGCCCCCAGAGCCCAGTCGAGGCCCAGAGATGTGCAGAGGGGGCTGGGGCCGGGCAGGCGTGAGCCCCTTCCTGTGGAGCCTCCAGACCTGTGAAGGAAGGAGACAGGTGAAGCCCCGGGGAAAAGGCCAACGCAGGTCACGAAAATCAGCAGAAAGGCCTCAGTCCAAGCTGAACCATCCGGCCCCCCAGCCTTTGGACAAGGGGCAGGGATGGAGGAGGTGGGAGGGAGGGAGGTAGATGATACAAGAAACCAAAGATATTAGGAAGGAAATATTCAAACAGCCCGTGAGAAAAGGAAGACCGGAAGATACAGGGACCAGAGGGACCAGAGGGAGAGGCAAGGAGACAGACAGCAGACAGGCAGGCAGAGAACTCGGAGGAGGAGGAGCAGGTGCCGTGTTGGGACAGACACCTGAGGAGAGAGCAGAGGGCAAAGGGGAGGGCAGAGCAGGCGGGGGAGCCCAGGGCCCCCAATGCTCTCATTCCTTTCGGGGAGGAACGAAGAAAGCCAGGGAGAAATGCACAGAACACAGACCACAGTCACCAACCACTGTCAACCAAGCACGTCCCGCGAGCTGCCCCGGCCCTGACCCTGGGCTGGGGGCGCTTCCCTCCGCAGCCCCCTCCCCAAATAACAAACAATCGGCTCCAAAGACAACACGCTCGTTCCATGCAACTTACAGGGGCCCGGAGCAGGGGTCCGGGGATGGGGGCTTCGGCCGACAATGGACACGGGCCCTGGGCTGGGGGCCCCCAGGGTGGGGGGAGTTAAGCAGCCAGGATTGGGGGGAAAGGGGGAGAAACAGAAAATGTGGGTATTGTTCTTGGGTTGTATTTTTTCGGGGGTTTGGTCCAAAGGAGGTTAAACAACATAAAAGTAACATAAGCTCACAGCTCTGGGCTGTGAGGTTGGGGGTGGAGGGCTATGGGGTGGAGGGGCCCCTTCAGGGAAATTCACAGGAGTCCAGCATCGCAGCCTCCGCCACCTGAACCACAGCTGCTCCCGGGAGGCCTGAGGCTGAGACGCCCCCCAGTCTGTTCTGTGCACTCTCCACTGTCCCCTGGGTCCACGGCCACATAGCAAGTCACCTGGAGTCCAGGGCACCGGGACCCCATGTCCCGCTTCTCAGAACCGATAGTCCAGCAGCCGGTGAGTCTACGACCCTCCTCAAACCCTGCTCCCACAATTCCACTCCAACCCAAAGGAAAACCAGAGACACACACAGACACATGGACACAGCAGACAAACGAGACCAGATATTAGGGAAGACCTGGGGAGTGCACACAGATATATAGGCTTTGCGCTCTCTCGGGTCACTGTGTGTGTGTGTGTGTGTGTGTGTGTGTGTTGGGGGGTGAGACTTGGATGACTGAAAAACAACCAGAGGCAGGGCATCCCTGAGGCCGTCGGGGAGCGGGTTGGGGGGGCGGGGGGAGCAGTCTGAGGGAGGGCCTGGCTGCAGTGTGTGCCCAGAACACAGACCACAGTCCCCAGCTGTGGGGAAGTCACAGGACAGGAACAGGACCCACCTGGGGCCCTCAGTAGGGCCGGTTGGCATCCTTAGGCCGCTTTAGCTGGACTTTGAGGCGCTTCATGCCAATCTGGAAACCGTTCATGGCCTGGATGGCAGCCTGGGCGCTGGCTGGATTGTCGAAACTCACAAAGCCTGCGGTGAGAGGGGCATAAGGCCGGCCCAGCCCTCCCCTCCCTCCTGTGCACGTCCGTTTCCCAGCACCACCCTGCTGCCTGCAGGTCCCTTAAACGCCTAGAAAAGTGCCCAGCACACAGCAGGCAGGCAGGCAGGCAGGCTCCTTGATGGATGGACCGTTGAGAGAATGCAGCAGCCCAGCCACTCACACTGGGACCTTCTTCCCAGTGTTCTCTGAGGGGGAGCCCCTTCCTTGGCCTCTCCCCCCGACTCCAAAAACAACGCTTCCAGACCCTAAAGGACTCCTGAAGCAGGAAGACAGTAATGTTCGCTTTCTCCCCTGGGCCTTGCAGGCAGAGGCCTGAAGGCAACTAACCGGACTCCCTAAGCCTTCCTTTCGGAAACCAGACATCCCCTATGCAGAGCCTCCGGACCTCACGGAGCGCAGGTTTACCGGGTCGTAAGGGAAAAGGGGACCCTGGTTTTCTGGAGAAGAGACAGGCCTGGGCAGCAGCTGGGAGGGGTGTCCGGTGTGCAAAAAATGGTGGGGGTTTTTGACTCTCGGACAATCTGGATTCCAAATACTGGGCCCACGGCAACTATAAGTGCTTCAGGTGGATCAGGCCTTGTCCTCTTTTGGAATTTGGCAAAAATGTGCCGTAATTTATCTTTCAGGTCATCATATTCTTACCAAAACACTTGCTCTGATTGGTGGCCCGGTCAACAAAGACTTTGGCTGAGATGACGTGGCCAAAGGGGATGAACATCTGGAGGATCTCTGAGTCCGTGAACTCCTGGGGCAAGTGGTAGATGAAGATGTTGCAGCCGTCAGGGCCTGGGGTGGCAACAGACAGGAAGAGCTTGGTGCCTGGGGGACAGACTCAGGAGCCAAGGCCTGGGGGAGCAGGTCCTGGGAGGACCCTCAATTCTGGCCGGCAACAGGGGCCAGGGTGCCAGCCACCTCTCCCCGCCCACGGGCCAGAGCTGGGCTCGGACTAGGCACGAGGGAGTCCAGGCCCTCGACAAGGGCACTCCATCCCCCAGGCTGTCAGCTGGGCCGCCCAGGCCGCACCTTCCCGCTGCTGCTGTTGCTGCTGTTGCTGCTGCTGCTGCTGCTGCTGTTGTTGCTGCTGCTGCTGCTGGGGCGGAGGCGGGGGCTGCTGGGCGACCAGGGCAGGAGGCTGCGGGAACGCAGGCGCAACCAGGCTGTAGGCTGCTGGGTAGGCTGCTGGGTAGGGAGACAGAGAGCTCCTGGGGCTCCTGAGATGCCCTGGCCCCAGCCTCCCCGCCAGCCCTGTCTCCCCGCCCCTGGCCCAGGCAATGGAGTTGGCAGGGCTGAGAGGTGTCAGAGAAGGAGCTGCCCCAGACCCAGCTCCTGGGCCTCTTTCCGCCCTTCATCCCTCCCAGCGGGGCCAGGCCTGGCGGGCTCACCTGTGTAGTGCTGCATCCCCGCGTAGGCCTGCTGCAGGGGGTCCACGGGGGCCGCGGGGCTCTGGGCTGGAGAGAGCAGAGCAGAGGCCGGCAGGTGGGGATCCGAGCCTCACCCAGGCTCGGGTACGAAAGGAGAGGGTCGGCGTGCCCGGGCTCCCCTGACATTGGCAAGACTTGAGTCTGACCGGCTGTGCGACCCTGGACAAGTCCCTTTGCCTCTCTGCGCCTCCGCTTCCCTGGCTCCCCTGCCCAGGGTGACAGAGCAGGAGGCCTTCTAACCCCAGGCCTGGAGCGGGAGGTATGTCACAGCTGCCGGCGGGGAGTGGTGGCTGGAGGGCGGCTGGGAGAGGGGTGGGCAGCAGAGACCCCCACCTGGGTAGGGGTGAACCCCATTGGGATACAGAGCATCAGGGGCAGGCTGCCCAGTGGGCTGGGTGGGCACCGGGCTGTAGCCGTTGACGCCCAGGGCGGCGGGGATGGCCGAGACGGGCGTGGCAGCGATGGCAGGAGGGGTGCTGGTTCCTGGGAGGAGAAAGTGACACAGAGCAGAGGAGCCGACACACACAGATGCAGAGAACCAGTCAGCAAGTCCGCGGGCAGAGGGAGGGCACAGGCTGCTCTCTGACCCAGCCACCCCCCCAGCCCCCCACCCTGGGCTCCCCTGCCCTGCCCCATTCCCCCAGCCCAGCCCTGCCTGGACCTTACCTGAGGACGGGGTGATGGGGGTGGCGATGAGGCCATTGGCATTGATGGCGGCCATGTGTTGCATCTGCACGGCAGCCATGGTGGCCATGG